TATGATATTTAACTAAGCAAGAATATTGGAACAGGTGGATTAGTGAAGGCCTTGTAACAGCAGCTATACAGACCGAGAAAGATAAATGCCAGTGGCTCTAGTCAAAGCTGCTGTGCTCTCTATATAGTGCTGGTAGAGAACACTGTTTGCTCTGTTGTCCATGGTAACAGTCAGTGAGTTAAATTACCCCCTGGGCCCTTGTATGAGTCAGGGAGAGAACATTTTGCCGCTGTTAATATTTAGACAGTGAAAAAGCATTGCTCTTGTTACATGAAGACTTTGAATTCAAGGTATTTAAGGATTGTTTTTCACTATAAATATAGTAATAGTCAATTGTCTTCTTGTCCTGTTGCTTTTCCTCCATACATTGTAATCATAGCTGTTGACCAGAGTCTTTTAGCTCAGTCTGCTGGGACTTTTTTTTATTGCATCTCCTGTGTTGTGTCTCCTTCTGAGAGACAGCTCAGACAGTTGTTGGCTTGTCTGAGAAAATAAAATGGGAGAGAGAGAGAGAGAGAGAGAGAGAGAGAGAGAGAGAGAGAGTTCCCAAAAAATTGAGCCCACTTTTCCATGAGGTATGATTCACTCTACTTGGAGGAAAGAAACATCAGCAACAGACCTCCTTCTCACTGAGGAGAGCACACATACCCTCAGTTACCTTTCCCCCAGCATCTGTCAGTACACACACACATACACACACACAGTTCTGACTTTTCCACTGCGGGTAGGTGGGCGGAGAGAGGAAGGTAACACAGGGACACTAATGGACTTACCATCTCCTTCCTCAAGCTTCTCTTGGTTTGTAATCATGCAGTAAAACCCAAACAAGGTTTGCTGATATAATCACCATTTCCACAGATACAGTGGACTGAGTCAGGTTTTAAGAATGTAAACAACAAAATGTTCCAACGAGCAATGTTGCATTCTTCGATTATAGGTTCCCACGAGTCATGAAAGCCTAATAAAAGATTGAAACTTTTTGAAAATGTTCATAAAAATGATACATTTCAGTATAAGCTCACTGCACATATTGGCATCAGTGTATGTTGGCATTACAAGAAATTGCAGTAGAGAAATGACAAACAAGGTTTGAGGTAATTTAGAAACAGTTTTCGCTATTATATCAATATTGATATTGATATTGATATTGGTTTCAAATTATTTATCGAACATTATTTACTTTACATCCTTACTCTATTACTTTGCATTACAATGAATGATCATGCACTGATGTAACAGCTGCTTTTACAATACATGACTGGAGCGCAAGGTTGCAGTTTGACACATTCGTGAGCGAAAGACATGGAATAATTTTAGGATTTGACCAAAATCATGTGTAACCATACTAATCCACCAAAAAAGAAAGTCATTAGAAAACTCCTTGAGTACATATGGAAATCCTTCACCATATGTACTGTGCTTTGATTTCCATTAAGGTATAAGTTATAAGTATTTGCCTGTTACCAGAAAAACATGATCTTGATTACATAGCTTTAGTGAGGCACAGTATGAAATTGACATGATCCTTGTCCATGTCGTAATGTTTAACCTGTTTTGTATGACTTCACTGCTGTTTTTCCATTGGCTGTGGAACCTTCCTGCTCAGAGTTTAGAGCTGCTACTTCTTATGAAAGTTGTTCACAGTTTGGCTTCATGGAAAAAACTGTCTGTGTCTCTGTGTGTGAGGGTGGCCGTACACGTGTTAGCATGAATACTCACACTCATGCATTTGTACATGCGTATTTTTACACGTAGGTTGTTTTCCTAAGGCTTACTTTCTACGGGAACACAAGAGATGCACTTGTATAAATATAAATATAGAGATATATTTTTAAAACGAAAGCTTAGCATACTGGCTTTCAGTTTTAGCCCAGCAGCCAAATTTACCCCACAGCAGCAAACATGTTTTGCCAGGAATGTATGAAGTCAATTCTTACACAGGTATTCACAGTGTTTTTATGTACTTAATGTCTCTGTGAGTACATGTTTACTGTGCGTAGGTTTATCTTTAAAATCCATCATCAAGTTCTAGTAAAATATCTGGTCACTCTTCAGGGCTTTGTGTGTTCGTCCTATTCAGTGTTTTTTTTATGATATTACAATGCTCTGATGAAACCTGTGGAAAACTGTCACGGTGGGGTTATGTGCTCATGGATTCAAAAATATCTCTCATTAATGTTATTATTACAGATCGGCCTCACTTTCCTCGGTGTGAGTGTCTGCAAAGCAGGTGCAGTGTTTAATTTAAGTTTAATTGTAACAGGCTCACATCAACTGAGAACCTCATGTTGGTATATTGTTGTAGAGATGTCAGCTGTTTATCCAGCTAAACTTCGCTGCCCACCAGAGACAACATGAGGAGGTGGTTGCCATGGTGAGAGAGCGTGTGTTTATCTGTTGCTGTGCAGGAGGGGAGTGGAGGGTGTTGTGCGGCGGTGGTGGGGTGGGTCAGTAAGGCTGAACGCTGCAGTGGCTGGTTGCCAGAGAACGGTAAATGGAATCCAGAGAGAGGGAAAGGCCAGCCCAAAATAAACCTATACTGAGCGTGTCGGACAGGCCCACACCATATGCAGCACCAGTTAAGGAGGCAGGGTCCTTTTTTTCTTTTTGATAGGATTATATGACAATATTTGAACTGGCCAGGGAGATGTGCCGCTCATGTGATCTGACAGGTGTCTGTCTTTCATGAATTTCCCCTAGGGGATAAATAAAGTATCTATCTATCTATCTATCTATCTATCTATCTATCTTCACAAGTCAGTTATCAGGATTAAAATCTTTTTTTCATAAATACTGCAAGTTACTATTGATTTTACATTACAAAACACACCCTTGCAAGTTTTTTATTACAGTTTAATTTTTTTTCAGTCTTATTTTTCCTGAAAACATGGATATTGTCATTGACAAACCAAGACTGTCTCTATCTTTTATGTTACAGAAGATGTCATAATTGGTGAAATTACATTGGAAACTATTTTTAAATTAATTGAGGACATCTATATTTTCTTTAAATTTGTAGTTTTATAAGTTTTGGTATTCAGACTTACACAGACTACCGCTATGTGTTAGCTCTTGTTTCCTGTGCGCTACACTGTCTATGAGTAATGTGCGTCTAATCTGTCCCCACTGTCCTGCATGTTAAAATACGTTGGGATGTGCTATTTCAGGGACCATGTTTTCTTGTATCATTAAAATGCGATACATGTAGGCTAAAGGGGATATAGTCCAGATGAGGGGAGGTGAGGGGCAGGCTGGGAAAAAAAATACAGAAAAAGAAATACAGCCTATGGAAGTAGAACCAGAAGAAGCGATTAAATTTTAAAGTGACAGCTAGGCGGGGGGAAGGAAGAGTGGTTACACTTCAAATGAGATCAGATGATGAAGATCCTCCTTTGCATCAGGGATGATGCATTAATTTAAGCCGTTGACATGGAGATGGTGATTAATTTGACAGGTTATTGTTGCCTTTATCTTAAACTGTTTGTTTTTAAATGGTTCCCAATGAATAGGTGTTGAGACAAACAGACATCTGCTATGCCCGTGTTCTGCAGGGGAATCAGTGTGTGTGAGGCAACAGGCTGACAGTAACCACATTCTTTGACCTCATCTCTCCAGCAGAGAGCATTGATCAATAGCATTAATTAGTAATCACCACGGTAATTTAACCTCATATTTCTATTAAAATATTTATGGTTGACAGTGTACAAAGAGTGTATCTACATAGTCAGTGAAGATGGTGTTGGTGCAAGGATGAAATCCAAAGAGAAGTAGTGAGATGTGTCACTGAGGTGCAGCAGGGTGGGACCACTAATCCCTCTAGGGGGTCACAGATATCCTGTTAGGACGATCACATTCTTTACGTAGTACTGCTTCTCCGTGTGTGAATATCTGGTACCTAATTGACAGTGTCCTGCCAAACAACACAGAAATATGGTTGCTGCAGTGATTGGCAGCTGTCAGCACTACAGCAGTATAGTTTGTTGCTTGAACAAGTAATGTTATGTAGTAAATACATGGAAATGTCATGGAAAACCTTGTAATAACTCTGTGTACATTATTGAATTGTATATTTTTTGCCCTAGTCGTAAAGTAAAAGACTGGGAAGGAATGCAAATGTAAATTTAGGCCAGCTTTTCTGTATTGCTGTATGTAGAACACACAATCTGTCACTCCTTCCGGGTTTATACATATAAATACTGTTGACCAGGTGTGAAACTGCTTTATTGCTGAACTAACCACAAAGTCTTTCCTGTAAAATGAAAGCAGCATTAGAATTATAGAGCATGTGTAAGCTTTAGATAATATATGTTTTATCCAAACATTTTTATCTGTAAAGTCTTATTTGTTTACTGTTAGAGACATGCAAAAATAAAGGCCTTTAAATCACAACAAAGAATGTGTGTGAATTTAAGATTTTATAGAAAAAATGATAGTACAGTATCAGGAAATCAGGCTGTGGTTAGATGTCAATGCCTGTTGGCTTTACTTTCAATATGACTGTAGAGCTGCAGATAGTATAGGTTTTCTTTGTTTTCTCTGTAGTTTTATTATCATTCAGGAGGTGTGTCATACAATACACGTCAGCACAAGTTCTTACATTTCTAAGACTTGGAAGTGTAAAATAACTGGATGTAGCCTTGTTGGTGCATGATTTTTGGCATATGACTAAGACCACTAGATGGCACTCTACACTAGCTACAGGCACTGAACTGCTGTATGCACCAGCTGTGCAGATGACAAATCTCTGAAGTATCATGCTCATATTTTCAATTTCATTTCTCACCCAAAGGCTATTAACTCTCAGGCTGACATATTAAACGAAATGCTATGATTTACATTAATCATAGAATGCAATCCGTGTAGCACCATGTCTGCTAATTTTGTAGTAAATGTCATAGTGAAAATGTTATTCATTTCACAAATTGTGATTCCTTAATATAATGAGGCTGAGGCTAAACAGTCTTCTGTTTTTCTTTTCTCATTCTATTTTACTCCCTCAGGATCATGTGAAGGCACCAAAGGCATCCAAAGCCGAGACAGTAGCTGAAGGTAAAGCAGTGGAAGGCCTCGAGCAGATACCTGAGGAGGGACAAGAGGGACTCCCAGCTAATCTCAATTCAGATGAGGAGGTAGAAATTGAGGAGATTATTGAAGAGTCTCGTACCAAACGCCTCCAACGCAGCACCAAGCAGCAAGTGGACAACATAAAGAAAGCCTTCTCCAAAGAGAAGATGGAGAAGACCAAAATAAAGACCAGGGAGAACTTGGAGAAAACCAAGCAGAGAACCCGCGAGAACCTGGAGAAGACAAGACAAAGAACCCGTGACAATCTGGAGAAAACTAAGCACAGCCTGGAGAAGAAGATTGGCAAGCTTGGGACCCGCATGACCCCCAACCAGGAGCGCAGGGCGAAGATGAAGAGCTCCAAAGATAAGATGAAAAAGTCCCTAACCCCTGACCACACGGTCTATGCCCGCTCCAAGTCCACTGTGTACCGTGTGCCCCCCTTCACCTTCCATGTTAAGAAGATCAGAGAAGGGGAGGAGGAGATGATGCAGAACACAGAGATGGTGGAGGTGACCGAGGCCGAGGGCCAGCCAGGGGGAGAGGAGAACGGGCTTGATGTGCATGTGGAGGTGGAGGAAGGGGAGCTGGTGAGTGTAGATAGCCCAGAGATGGCGGCTCTGTTGGAGGTGACTGAGGACACTCAGCTGGTCATGGTGGAGCCAGACCACCTAAAGAAGGCCCAAAGCGAGTAGAGCGTCCAAGCTCCGCAGAGAAAGATGAAAGGATGAAGAAGGGAACGAAGTCTTGACGAATAAGTCAAATCACAAGGACACAATATTAGTCGTAGGGACTTTCTAGATGTGATCACAATCTATGACATCTTCTTTGTTTTCTGTTCTCTTTTTATTATACCCAATAGGGATGACTTTCATATTTGCTCCTCTTTAGCATACAAATAAGAAAAACGAAATAAAAACAAAGCTAGCTTTTGAAACATGCTGCAGGCTGACTGGTTATCCTAGACTTGTATGTTTAGGATATTTGCTGTTTGTTGTTGGTTTGATAAATTGAGTGGGAAAAGGTATAAATAGTCTTTGCTATTGAAATGTACTGTATAATATAATATTTACCATGTATGATATGCATATTAATTGGTATGGTAACAGGAAGTTGTTGGCAAGATTTATGTTCCATTGGTTGATGGTTTTAGTGATGTAATGTGCACATGTGAAACCAAAAAAAACTGAACACAAAGGCAAGGATAAGGCCAAAGAAATAAGAAATAAAGATGGAGGAGGCAGGAGGAGGTGGGAACGGACTTGAAGAGTTTACAAAAACAATATCCTTAATATGCAAAATGCCTTAGGGCATTGCTAATTTACTGCCAGTCACTCAGGCATTGTGTCAAATGTGACAACGCAATCATTTTTAATGTAAATTACAGATGTGAAGTACTGAAAATAGAAGCGGGATGTCTGTTATATTATATCTGGAATACTGAAACACTGAGAAAATTTTATCAAAATATTAAAACACTTACTGGTAACCCCTAAGTAAATGTCTAAAGTTCAGAAACTGTTGTGAACTTGTGACAGTCATTGTAAGACCTTAAGTTTTATGTAAAACATAAAAAAAAAAGATTGTGACAACTTATCATAAGGTATACTATATTATTTATGTAGGGAAATATCTCTTCATCCTGGTCACTCACATTTCAGCTATAATTTAATGAAATACTATACATTTAGAATGTAACCTTTGCGGCAATGTATCTTTACAATGCATGCTTGAAAACACTGTCTCATCATCATTTACTGTGATGTTTTAATTCACCATGTCATCTGGACATATTGTGCTCACCAAGTTTCACATAGCACACTGCTACACAGAGGAGAAGAAAAACAACTGTATCACCATGGTCACGGCTCACATTTGGACATCCCTATTAAATTTTCCCAAGGTAATTGCTGGCAGAAAAATGATGGTCTAAAGAGCAAGATGACAGCTTAATGACTGACTACGTAACACACGGAGATACAAATGTCATCCTAAATGTGGTTAGAGTGAGACAGCACACTGCCAGGTATTATGAATGATCGACAAATATTTTTACAGAGACCAGGTGCAATCTTGTGTACTTCCTCTGCATTATGAAAGGAATGTCCACTATGATAGAAGGAAAACTAGGTGACCATGAGTCCTTGAATGAGATTGTAGAGAAGATGGTGGTGGAGGATTAGAGGAAGCTGTGATAATTAAATTGTAATGATTCTCAACCTGATGTAAACAGACAATGGCGATGCTCAATTATTGCTACTTTTTATCATGTAAGACAAGTGCACACGACTAGAGATGTAAAACAAAGTCTAGCGACTGTATATGACCTTGATGTGGTCTAGTCATCCAGAAAGCCCACTGTGTAGCATGCAACACCATTAAAATAATCAATGGGCTAGGGAATGCAATTAAGGAGAGTGCTCCCTCTGAGCACTGAGCAGGGTAGAGAACAGGGAGGAGGACAGAGAGAAAGGATGTGTATATGTGTGTATGTGTGTGTGAGTGAGTGTGTGTGTGTGTATGTGTGTGTGTGATTGTGATTGTGAAGAATATGTGCATACCATATACCCACAGTGATATTTTCATGAGACTCAATTTTGTCAGCATTAAGTGGAAATTTCATAAGGGCTCAAATAAATCAATTGCAGGCCTGTGACATTACATAGGATGATCACGATAAATCTTTTTTTGATAGATTTTTTTGGGCAAAAATATGTACATTATCTTGCACATTGAACATTGAAACACTTGTAAGATATGGATCCCATTACAAAAAATTGTGTTTTTGCCACCATGTATATTTTTGCCTTGTTTTAAGCTACTGGTTATTACAAAACTGAACCAGCCTGCAATAAGCGTGGCGTAGGTTATGCACAATTTATATAGAAACACTTGCATTTTGACAAGACAGACGATGTCACACGATTACTGTAGGTAGGTGTTATTAATTAATACTCAAATAATGAAGCTTGCCTTTTCTGTTGTGTTTAAGGCCTCTTTTGCCTAACCACTTCAATATAAATAAAATCTTACTGAATAATATATACTGCCTACTATTTTTATTTTATGAACCTTTTAAACACCTGATTACACTACTTGTTTGTCGTCTTATTTATTTTATTACATTTGTTCTCCAACAGAGAGAAGAGGCTTAGGTAAATAAGGTATTGACTTGTGATTAGAAGAGGGCAATAATGAACATCGCTGGTGTTATTAAACTCTTGATGACGTCGGCACTGCCAGTAACTCAGATGACTTCCAGGCTGGCTGTTCTGTCGAAGTGCTCGTCCTCCCTCCGAAGCAAATAAGCGCGTGGGCCTACTTTACGTTCCCCATGTAGGGAGGGTGTTGCGATGGGAACAGCGCAGTTGCGACAGCAGTAAACACGGCGTTCTCAACCAACCCCACAGTAAAGTCCCACCTCTCTTGCAAGCAAACTGCAATCTGATTGGCTATATCAGGATTCCCGACTACTATTGGTTGTTAGAGGTGTCAATAATGGAGTTTATGGAGTTTGTCTGGCTGGAAAGACTGCAATGTAGGTGATGGGTTGGGTAATGAGGTTTATGCGTGTGTGAGAGAAGTGTTTCCCGAGCCTGCTAGAAGAAACATTGAGTTGCGACGTTTTTCCGTGTCTCTTAGCTCGATTTTGTGTGTTCAGTTCTAGAAAAGTTGTCACTGACTGTTATTGTCAGTGTTTTTTAGTAGAAAGGGTTACATTTTTCTACGGAGAAACTTTCCAAGGGAGTGACAACGAGCTAGGTAAGCGACTACAACAACGACTTCTGCTTTTGGCATTTATTAAACATTTTTCTCAGTTCCGAGGTCAGATTTCGTCTTCATTATTATGTCATAGCAGATCACATTAATTGCATGGCTAGCTCTGTTATCCATAACACAACTAAACTACATTTGCATCGTTGTGACCACGTCATAAGTTATTCATGCTGTAGAAACCATTTTGTTTTATAAGTAATAATACAAGTGTTACTATGTTTTAACTGAAGCTAGTCGGTCCTGCTTGCCCCTCATGAAACTGGTAATCTTACAACCAAAGCTCTCAGTATGGGTCTCGTGAATTTTTGTTTTCTGTTTTCCACATGTGGTCTGGATCATTTACTAGTAATAATGGCCATACATACCTTTATCGAGGTGCATATTTATTTTATTTAGTCTCAATGGAATTTAGGTCATTGTTTTGTGTTTGCCTTGAATTGTCACGCCCATCTCCCTCCCAGCTTCAGGCCAACATGACTGACTCCTACAATAGGATTCATTTCCTCCAATCCACCAATTAGATTTTAGGGATCATACTGCTGTGCATGCCCAGAATCTTAATTTGTGGGGTGTATGGCAGGGTTTGATTTGTCATTTACCATGTTTAGTGCAGCCAGTACAGCTGTCATAGTGATATTGTTTATCAGGTAAGCTACTACTCTATTGACAATGATCACTGTTTTTAAGTTGAAAGTATGGCTGTACAACCTAATGACACACATATAAGTACTTTCATTCTCACCTGTGTTTACAGAAACCATAATGGTAACGGCTTCCTTTGTTTGTTCCAGGAAGTATTTCCTGGAATATCAGTGACATGATTTGAGGAGTCAGTCATTGTGCTGTACAATTGTAATGATACTGACTATGTCTGCTTGCATAGCATCAAATTGATTTTCAAACTCAGATACTTATGACAGATACATTTAAGATGTGGTGTTTGGTCAAAACCCTTACCTTGGCACATGGATCAATATTTGTGAATAGGGCCCAGGGCCGTCATTTTATTTCTAACCCAAATTCACCAACAACAGGAAGTAGTAGACCCTAATTCAGATGGTCTAAAAACTAAAGGAATCCTCACAGAGTTGACGATGACTCAGCTACCCTTTGATGTGATCCTCTGAGGGTTTTCACATGCCCAGAAAGTCTCACCATGCAGATGCACTGTTTTCACATTAGAAAAAGAGGAACATATTTCATTAGAAAACTGTGACATTTGTGGAACAGTTACGGGTCTTACATGCTAAAAAAAACTCTTACCTATGTGATGTCAGTGAGAATAATTGTTAACTGAACCGTTAACTGAATTCTTGTGGCTTCCCTGGGACACTGACTTCATTTAAATGAAACTTTGAAGCCATATAGTTATGTTTCAGGTTGCCCTAAAGTAATTAAACAATGAGTTGGAACCTTACACTGACTTACCAGTTCACAATCTTGTACAGTCCATTATGAAAGACATTTAGTTGTCAAACACAGGTGTAACTAATAAGGTTAATCATAGCTTCTTTTAATTTAGGTGGAGGCACAAAGCCATTATTAATATTATAAGTTACACCTGTGCTTTTTATTCTACAGTTTGTCGAAATGTCTGCAGTGAGTGAAAGGAAGGAAATGCATTATACAACCTTGCAATAAATGCAGTATTTGTAGAGCCTATAACGTTCAGTTTTTGTTGACACTGTGTCAGATAAGACTTGATTAACTGTAGTACTACTCTAGTAGTACTCGTAGTAGTAGTAGTAGTAGTAGTAGTAGTACTGTATTAATCATTGAGGCTGTGGTTAATAGTGGTGTAATAGAGGATTACATCATACTGAGGAGTTTCTATTACTTTGACCCCCTTATGTATATGAATGGGATTGGGAAAAAGATCAAGTGTGCAAACTGAGTAATGAAGAGGTTTATCAATTACAGTGTGAGCGATGCAGAAACATGGACATATATAGAATACTAATTTAGATATTTAAAGTGTTTCAAATGTTAGCAGTACTATCTGTGTTATCTGTGCTTTCTGTCATCTTACCTCCTGGAAACAGAAAGCATAGTCTTGTTTCTTGTCAAGAACATTTGAGTCATCATTTACCAAGGATGAGAGCTTTGGTGAAATTCTGAGCCTATATTTAAATTCTCCCTAGTGCACTGCACAATTCAGTATTGTGCAATGACACTGTGCAACTGACTATTGACTACTCAGACCATGTATGATAGTGAAACAGTATCCAAAAGCTATGTAAGGGACTTAAACAAAGGCTGCAGTCTGTCATTTAAAACAGTATGGATGGCAGAGGAGACAACTTTCTGTTGGATCCACTGACTGTCTGGTTAATGTTAGTGCACAGTCTAGAGTCCTCCGGGGGACAGTATAGCCTGCTGTTGGTAAGATGAGATGGTTAGCAGAACCTGCCATGTGAATCTGATGGATAATAGTGGTCTATGCAAGCAGCTGAGTTAGGATTACTGACAGTATGTTGTTCAAATTGCATTGTGCTCATCGGAAAATTGATATGAAGGAAACGATAAAAAGCCAGCCTTTATATTGTCGAAGAATATATGTTTTTCTGGTTTCGACAGCTTAGAGAGGGAAATGTGGTTTTCATTCTTTCTAGCGAGTACGACTTGGGCACTTCGACCTAAGATCATTAACTCCTATCTGCTAAGGGAGTTGACAGCTGTTCATGTCGGCCTATATTTCTCTGTGGAGGCGTAGCATTTCACTGAACAGGAAGTGACTGCTGAAAAGGAGGCCTCCTGAGTGCATGTCATCATTTTCAGAGAAAACCTGACATTTAGCTATTTCTCTCTGATCAGTTTAAGTGATACTCGGTTATAGATATATATATATATACATATATGTGTGTGTGTGTGTGTGTGTGTGTGTGTGTGTGTTTATATGTGAGGACATATATTTATCAGAGAAGTTCTCTGGGTATCTTGCTTATGTTGTTACTGCTATCTTTTTTTACGTAGGTTTGAGGAGGTGTACGTCAGGATGGCCCAGTGGAACCAGTTACAGCAGCTGGAGACCAGGTATCTGGAGCAGCTCTACCACTTGTACAGTGACAGCTTCCCAATGGAGCTACGGCAGTTTCTTGCCCCCTGGATTGAGAGCCAAGACTGGTGAGAAATAATTGAATTCCTAGGCTCTGTGATGCAAGGACATTTTATTCCTCCTGCTTTTTATCCTCCACTCCTTCTAAACTGGCACGTGGCCACTCACCATGACTTGCTAATAGTTTGCCACATGAAAAGCTATTGTGTTTTAGAATTCATCCCTCTTCCTTATCATGCTTTCTTCTTCCTCCATTTATTATAGGAATCTCATGCATATCATATATCAGTGCACCTAAATGATTCCATGTTGAGTGACAAAGCTTTCTTCTGAGGTTTTTCTTCTTTTCAGGGCTAAATTAATATAACCTAGTATCTACCAAAGATATTATATTTTCTGTCCCATTTGTCTATTTCATTTTTTGAAGCGATCCATGAACAGTGGATGGGATTTCAGTGCTTCTTTTACCAGTTCCCAGAGGGAACTAGAAATGATCATACCCTGTTATTCTTTCTCCTCTCTCCTTTACTAGGGCTTATGCTGCCAATAAGGAGTCCCATGCCACACTGGTGTTCCACAACCTTTTGGGAGAGATAGATCAGCAGTATAGCCGTTTCCTGCAGGAGAACAATGTACTCTACCAGCATAACCTGCGCAGGATTAAACAGCATCTGCAGAGCAAGTACTTGGAGAAGCCGATGGATATTGCCCGCATTGTTGCCCGCTGCTTATGGGAGGAGCAAAGGCTCCTGCAGACTGCCACATCTGCTGCACAGGTTGAGAAAGCAACACAAACTTAGCTTTAGATTTGAATGTTATTATTCAGTAATAAAGTCATTAATGGCTATGGGTTGGCGCAATGGTTTTACACATCAGTTTCCCCCTTAATTATTGCAGGATGGCCAGGCAGCCCATCCCACTGGGACGGTAGTGACAGAGAAGCAGCAGATCCTGGAGCACAACCTTCAAGACATCAGGAAGCGGGTGCAGGTTAGTTTCCCTCAGAGACTCACTGATTTAAATATTTTAATATGCAATATAAAGAATACTGAACACTCTCTTGCCTTCGCACGATTAGTCTTGTTATAAATATGTATATAAATCATCATCTTTTTTTGACAGGATATGGAACAGAAGATGAAAATGCTTGAGAACTTGCAGGATGACTTTGATTTCAATTATAAGACATTGAAAAGCCAA